TTTGATGATAACCTTTGGAGAATAACTTCCATATCTTTATCTCAAATATGACATTTCTCCGACAGTTTTAACCAACTGTTGGGCACCTGCCCTTCCATGTATCTCAAGTGTTACTGGTTCAAACAAATTTTACAGTTTTGATCTTTTCTAAGCCAGCTTTTCCTCCCTTTCCTTCCTTAATCCTTTTAATTGGGCCACTGTATTCTCAGTGTCTAAAGCTGAGAAACTTAGGGTCATATTTGACTTTTCCCTTTTATTTAAACAAAATATGTACGACAGGGTTCCACAATGTTGTCATCCTCCTGCTTCAGCCTCCCAACCAGGACTACAGGTTCATGCAATCACACCCAAATCTTTTTCAGACAGGATTTCACTGTATTGTCCAGGCCAGCCTCTAGTTTGCAATCCTGACTCAACCTCCCATACCACACATAGACACACACCATTGAGGCTAGTCTTCAGATTGAACCAGAAATCAAACCCAGACCTCCCACTTGGTCCCAGCTTGCAGAGCACAGCATCTTAGCAGTTCACGCTGCCACAGCTGAGCCTTGAGTTTTCTTCTTTTAACCTCCATTTTCAATAAGTTATAAAAACATATAAAGCCATCCCTGTCAGAAAAAATAGGATAATGTATTTGAGTTGGATGACCTGAGCAAGGCAGATTTATTTAAACTTTAGTTTTTTCATTAGTAAAAACAATGTTAATAATAGGGGCCAGCAGGTGGCATGGTGGTTAAGGGTGCTGGACTCTCATATGGTCAACTGTGGTTCAAGTCCCTGACCTGGGGGCTTGTTTAGTAACATTCTCTCTCTCTCTCTCTCTCCCTCTGTTCCTCTCTGGTCAAATTAAAATAAATAAATAAATAAATAAAGTTAAATAAAATAATTCTTTAAAAAAATGCAGGGTCCGAGAACTTGTGTGGTGATTAAGGGCACTGGACTCCCACATGGCCGACTATGATTGAAGTCTCAGACCAGGTGGCTTCCTTTCTCACTTTCCCACCCTCTCTGGTCACAAATAAATAAATTAATAAATAAAGCTAAATAAAGTAATTCTTAAAAAATACTAATAGCATATTAATGCATTAAATCCCAGAATAAATTCTTCCCTGATTTCCCCAAAACAAATACTTTATCTCCAACCTCTGAGCTCCAATAAGACTATCTATATTTCTTTCATGGCATCTATCATACTTCTAACCAAATATTTTTCATAGATAATTGTAGGCTTAAATTATTTCCCTTCTTGGGAGGATCTATAGGCTCCTTTGGCATGGAAATCATATCTTGTTTCCTTGTTTCTATTTGAAGGTTCTACAGTGTTTTTCTCATAGCAGGAGTTCCACAACTGGAAAATTAATGAAACCGATTAATATCCATCAGATTTTATCTTCCATTGGAAAAAAAGGTATTTCTTAAGTTGTGTATCAAGTTATAATCAGAATGCATATATCCTTTGACTAAAATAATGACAAATGGATAATAAGGAGGATCAGGAACACCCAAAAATAAAAAAAGCTGAACAGAGAAAGAATCATAATGAGAAAAGTGGATTGAGATTAGTTTAATTACAGGGAGGATAAAGAAAGATTAGTCAAGCTGGAAGTGAAAGTTGTCATTTAGGAGGCACAGCTTATTATAAATATTGTAATTAAACTAGAATCTTCTTCAGGGGAGATTTAAAGCACAAACTAGAATCTTCTCCAGGAAAGATTTAAAAGGGATATGCTTAGATTTTTTATAAATGGGGAATATATGTAGACATGATTTTCAAACTGCTTTGTAAAACCAGTTATATTATTATTGTTTACAAAGCATTGGGCTTGAAATTTGTTTTATTCCTCATCAGTGGAAAGAGTTAAAAGCTTTACTGATCATCTGCTGGATCTTCTTCCTAAGAAACTACCTGCTTGTTTATAGATGACCTCAGCCATAATGATGAGCTCCTACAAGGACAGGCTGTGTTTCTAATATTATATATATTTGCTTACATACTTCAAAATTCTCTGCCTTTATAACTAGATGGTGGGAAAGGGAGTACAAAGGTGACTTCCTGGATCTTAATTCACATCCATCGTCAATTGTCCTTAATTTACAAATGGTTCTCTCCCTATTCTGCATCTTTTGATTTTAGTTCCAACTGTTGCTTTGCAACTGAATAGTTTTGAGCCAGTTAAAAACTTATTTTTCAAGAAAGTTGGGACCTTGCTTTGTTCACTGTTCTATCCTCAGTTCTTAGGGCAATTTCTAGCACATAATAGGCAATTGATAAAATATTCCTTGAATAAATGGCTGAATTTCTCTTTGCTTCTGTTTTCTCACTTCATTAAGATTAAATGGGATAAAATATGTAGTTGCCTAGTATGAAGTATGTACCCAATAAACATTAATTCTTCATTTTCTTTGTTAATTAAAGAATAAGAATTCATACAGAGTCACATAAGAGTAATTGGAATCCAAATGACTTGACATTTAAAATCTCTCTGGATATATCCAAGGCAAACAGCAATTCTCACATTATAGAAAAAGAAGCATTATCTAGAACTAACTCTTTGAAAACCAGGGATATCAAATGTAATATGCATACAACTATGCATATCCCCAGTTTGTGTGTCAAAGGAAAAAAAAAAAGACGAGAAGGAAGAAGGGAAATGTGTGAAATGATTGGCTACATGAGATAAGAGGTTCAGTCTCCTCTCCTCTCCCAAGCCCTCCTAGCCTACCTCTACCCCATCTTTCAGATTTGTTGCTAAAATATTTGATTCTGCAAAAGAAGGAACAAAAAGCTGCATTAGTTGTAATCACATTCTCTTTCAATATTTACATGGAAATACGAAAACTCAAGCAAATGTTCAAAACACACCTCCCCAAATGAGAGTTTGTGTGCACATAGGTTCACACAGACAAGTGCAACGAGAAGCCTCCCTAGCTAATGACACATGAGAATATGATTTTTTTTTTTTTGGAGAGGTTTTCGCTATAGGGCGCGTGCGCTCGCCAGACAGACAGAGAGAGACAGAGAGACAGAAAGCGAGAAATCACCCCCCAGGGGGGATGGTCACGCCGCAATCCCTTCTCCTCCATTCTCCTCTCGGGATCTTGGGCACGCACGCACATGCGCCTGGCGTGAGATTTAAGCCACCGGGTCCGAGACGCGAACCGCGGTCGACTACGTGGGAGTCCAGCGACATAGCCATTACACTAACTGCTGGTTCCCGAGAATATGATTTTAAAATACGTAAAGAAGGGGATAGATATTAGTAGAAGACTAGTACAAACTTTCCACTCACCTAGAAAAGCAGAAAGCTGTACCTTAATTTAACCCTTTGCTGAGGCAAATATAGATGGTCCCCAATTTACTGCGGTTTGACTTACAATTTTTTGACTTTATAATGTTGCAAAAGTGATGCACATGAAGTAAAAGCCATGCTTCATGTACTCATATAATGACCCCACTTTTCACATTCAATATACTACTCAATAAATGACATGAGATATTCAACACTTTATTAAAAAAATAATAGACTTTGTTTTAGTTGATTGGGTTCAACTGTAGGCTAATGTAAGCATTCTGTGCATGTTTAAATTAGGCTAGACGAAATCATGATGTTAAGTAGGTTAGGTAGATTACATCCATTTTTGACATAATATTTTCAACTAACGATGGGTTTATTGGGATGTGACTTCATCATAAGTCCAGAAACATCTGTAATTTATTTTATCTTGTTGAGAAGGAAAGGATTTCTTCCCACAATAAAAATAGAATAAAATAGAAACCAAAGCAACGAACTGCTATATTCCTATCTAAAGCATACTGTTTCCAATTGTGATACTGATGTCCTTATAAGCTCATAAACCCTTCTGTTTTTAGTAAAGGAAGTTGTGTGTATGTGTGTGACAGAAAGACAAGGGGGAGAATGTTTGTGTTGAGAAAGGCTTATTACTACAGAAAAAAGTTTTCCTAATTTTCTCCTCAAAATGAGACAGAGAATATTATAGTTTGTGAAATAAAAGGTTATATATCTCTATAAAAACTTTAATAATATAATAAAAAATAATCATTTTAATTAATGGATTGATTATTATCATTATTTTAAATTTGCTATAGGGCATGTGCTCTCACCAGAGAGAGAGAGAGAGACAGCATGCCACCAGGTCTGGGACTTGCACTGTGGTCAGCCATGTGGGAGTCCAATGTCTTAACCACCAAGACACTTGCTGACCCCAATAACATAATTTTCTATAAAGCATATTGTTGGGCTCCAAAGTTCATGCACCATAGGCAACAAAGGCATGGGAACAACTTTGAACTTTTGACTTTCTTCTTCTTAGTCCATATCTCAATGCAAATCTAAACAGACTAAAGACTCTAACACCTGATATAACAGTTGATAGAGTTTCTATGTGAAGCTTGTGAAAGAACTTTGTCCTTTTTGGTTTGGCTCAAAGTCCATAAAAATCCTTCATAGCGTGAGGGTGGGGCTATAGAAACAGAAAGCCTTTATCAACCAAGAATTTCCAAGCTAGTCAGTACTGTTGCACCTGTATGGAAATACAGTTTCCTCGAATTAAAGATGGCTTTTAAAAAGTTTATTTATTTTTATTTCTTCCCTAAGAAAGAGAGAGGAGACAAAGAGAGAGATAAAAAGAGAGAAAGAGAGAGAGAAAGAGATACTCCCAACAGGGGTTTCATACCACCATCTATCCTCCATCTCAATTGACCCAAACTAGATGTATACACACATATGCCCAGCCTGGTCAATAAGGTACTGGGAAATAAACCCAGGACCTGTTCCATGTAGGATCAGTTGCGTTACTACTGCACTGTCACCTGGCCCAAGTATGGCATATTTTGATACTAATGATTAGAAATTTAATTTATAACTGGAAGAGAGAAGCAATCTGATTTTAAGGAGGTGGTAATTGACTTGCTCTTCTTGTTTAAGCTATCAATTTCTAAGAAATAACATTTTAGGATAAAAGAATCTGTATCCTACCTGTTCAGGATTTTGTACTATATATCTCCTAATAGTGGTCTGTGGATATGTAGTGACTTTCACTGTTGGAGAATGGAGTTCCTGTGAAGAAAAGATAAAAGCTGTATAAAATCATAGTTATTGAGTGACTTTGGAGCTTTCAATAATAACAGGGAACAATTTACCCAGTGAAAGTTTAAAGTTATTTACATGAAACAATGATGTGTAATTTAAAATTTAGCTACTTCAGTCTCAGGAACATATATGAAAGTATGTGCTATGTGCCCAGTACTGTACTAGTTAGTTGTATTATACTCATTTCATGATATTTCATAAGTTTCTAAACTCTATTTAATGAAAGTTTCCAAATATTAGTTTTATTGTAAATTATACCACATTATTAGAAAAAAGTATAGATTAATATTTATTAATAAAAACTTTTCTTTAGAAAGGACATTGTACATTTTAAAAACTGGAAGGAGACACAGAAAGACTAAAGTCTGTGTGTGTCCACACAAACATTTTTATCTTCAGTATGTTTTGAGAAAGCCATAGATAAGATTATACAAAACACTAGCATGAAGTCATTTGTAAACTTTTAATGGAAGTCAGTATCATTAATGTATGAGACAGTTTTCATACATCAATAAGAAAAAAAACTTCATACTATTAGAAAAATGAGTATAGGACATTAATAATTTATAAAATAAGAAAATCAAATGATTAATAAACCAAACAAAAAGTACTCGGTAAAACTGGGAATCAAATAAACATAAAAAAGAACACCATATTTTTAGTGGAAAGTTTAAAACAATAATGCTGATGTGAGGGGAAAGATTAAATAATCATCCAGAGGCCAAAATATGTAGCCATTAAATAATGACTTTGAGTAATACAAATTTACATTTAAAAAGCTCACAATATAATAAGGTTAAGTGAGAAAATAAATATACAGAATAGCATACATAGTAAGATCACAATTTAGTATTTGAATGGAAGAAAATAAAAGAAAACGTTAAGAGAATAAAGTAATTAGTAAAATTCCTATTTTGGGAAAATATGAAAAAAAAAGAGTAGTATCTCTGGGTGGGGAGGGAATCATGAACGATTTTTTGTAAATATACATTTAGTCACTGTACATTTTTATGGAGATCAACATAGTTTTTCCAGCATGAATACAGAACATATTAGTCAAGTCAAAGACCTTACCATATACAAACAACACATTTCGTGAATGATTTTTCACATTTTTTCTTTATTTTTTATGGTTTCAAAATTTTCTGCAATACACGCATTTTTATTATCAGAAATAAAATGTACAATCAATTCAATTTTAAGGCCAATTTCTATGGAAAATAACAGTTAATGTAATTTTCTGGCTTCATTTGAGCATAGTGAACAGTCCTGCGATTTAAGTGGACTTAACTTTACTGAGGCATTCCTACCTTGGTGATCCCATAGGTATCCTTTTCCAAGCCAATTGTAACTTTTATCCCATGATCCTGTGGTTTGTTATGTATGTGACATTTGCTAATCTGTGAGCTCCTTGAGAATAGTGATTGGGTCTAATTCACCTTTGTGCAGTATTTGACACATTCTTGGTACTTGGCAAATGTTTGTCAAATAAATGCAGAACTCTAATTAATCTAGCTCTAGTCTAAGCCAAGTTGAAAAGTGGTAGAAAAACTTTTTGCTGATAATCTTACTGATTCTGTGTACTATCACACAGACATATAGACTAATGGAGCAGGGTAGTAAACCCACATCTGTGATCAAACTGCTTTTTATAAAAAGTTATTTTCCCTTTCTTTTCTTTACTTCCTTCCTTCAAAACAGGAACCCCCAGAAAGTCCTTTCCACACCACAGTCTTTCCCCCCAGCCTTCTAGCCAGCTTGACATGTCCAGGTCAATTTGGGGTCCAACCTCCCAGGCTCCAGTATTGTGTAATGGTGCCCTACTTCCTGCACCATTGTGGCTAGGCCTCAAATGATTTTTTATAAAGCTGCTAGTAATAATCTATGGGAAAAAACAATCTCTTCAATAAATGGTGTCAGTAAAACTATATCCACATACAGAAGAATTAAATTAGATCCTTATCTGATACTGTATAACATAATCAACACAAATGGATTAAAAACTTAAGTGTAAGACTTGAAACAGTAAAACTACTAGAAGAAAACATAGGCGAAAAGCTCTATGACATTGGTATGAGCAATGATTTTCTGATATGATCCCAACAGATAGATGACAAAAGCAAAAATAGACAAATGGGTTAACATCAAATTAAAAAGATTCTGCACAGCAAATGTAACAGTGAATAAAGTGAAGCAACAACTCACAGGATGGGGGAAAATATTTGCAAACCATACATGTGTCAAGGAGTTAATATTCAAAATGTATAAGGAACTCAAACAATTCACAAGGACTTACAAAAACATTTCTCTCAAAAGACATAGAAATTGAAAATAGGAACATGAAAAAAACGCTCAGCATATTAAAACTTAGGGAAATGCAAATTAAAACCACAATTAAATATTACCTCACACAGGTTAGAATGGCTCTTATGAAAAAGATGAAAAATAGGTGCTGTAGAATGTGCAAAGAAAAGGGAACTCATACATTGTTGGTGAGAATGCCAATTAGTATAGCCGCTGTGGAAAACCATATGGAAATTTCCCCAAAATCTAAAAACAGAACTTTTGTACAACTCAATAACCACACTTCTGTGCATATTAGCAGGCTTCAAAAAGTTAATGGAAAATGTGTATTATCAAAAAGCTATGTGTGGAGAACAATATGGAGGTTCCTCAAAGACCTTCGAATAGAACTATCATATCATCTAGCAATTCCACTCTTGGCTATCTACCCAAAGGACAGGAGAATGCACAGTCGGAAAAGTGCTTGCACAACTATATTAATTGCAGCATTATTCATGATTGTTAAGACATGGAACTAACCCAAATGTCTACAAACAGATGAATATATTGAAAAATTGTGGCACATATACTCCATGGAATACTATTCAGCTATAAAAAATAATAAGGCCCTGGAATTTGGTAGAAAGTGGACAAATACAGAAGATTTGTTGCTGAGTGAAGCAAGTCAGGCTATGAAAGAGAGACATTGTATGTCTCCACTTAACATATATTGACTGTCTGCACTCTATGGTAGAGACAGAAAGACTGAAGAAAATAAAAGCATTAAAAACTGTAATGGACACTAGTAACAAAGTGGAAGGAGAATGTGGGCAGGGAAGAGCATAGGAAAGGAAATTTGGGCAAAAAATAGAGAGGTAAGACACTTGTGGGACACAGACATGGTTTATTATCTTGATGAGGATGTGTATAGTATTCTCAACTGGGCTGCAATGAGGTGTACATCATGCTTGGTAAAGTGTCTTTACAATATAAATTATGTATAGCAACTGAATGTATGAACAATACTACTGTTAATAAATAAAAATTAAAAATTTAAAACAGCTATGTATTCATTGATTATAAAATTTTTGTACCAAAATAAACTCTTACTTTAATTCTATTTTTCCATGAACTTTTGAAGTCCTCTTATATAGCCAAAGGAATTTAAATCAATTATGTTGAAGGGATATGTGCATTTCCATGTTCATTGCAGCATTATTCACAATAACTAAGATAAGGAAGCAATGTAATACTCATCAATGGATGAGTAGATAAAAAAAATATAGTATATAGACACAATAAAATACTATTTAGTCTTAAAAAATGTTAGGGAATTCTTTCATTTGTGACCATATAGATGAATTGGAGGACATTATGCTAAGTCAAGTAAGTCAGACACTGAAAGACAAATACTGCATGTCCTTACCTATATGTGGAATCTAATAAAGTTGAACTCATAAAGTAGAGGATAGAATGATGGTTACCAGAGGCTGTTTTGGTATAGAAAGATGGTGGCATGGAGAGTCATTGACCAAAAGATACAAAGTGTCACATAGACAGAAAGAACATGTTTCCAGATCTATTATACAGTAGGGTGACTTTAGTCAGTATCTATGTATTATATATTTCAAAATAACTAAATAAATTTCAAATGCTCACCATAAAAAATGATATGTACTTGAGGTGTTAGATATGTTAATTAGTTTGATTTAATCATGCTGCAATGTATACATATTTCAAAACATTACATTGTACCCCACAAATATATACCACTATTATTTGTCCATCAATAATAACACATTTTTAAAATAAATGTTAACCATCACATTTTTCTTACTGTGCTCAAGTTCTAGAGGCCAGATTTTGTTAATTTCTCTCCTCCCTGTCCAAGTACACAGCCTGGCACCTCAACTGGGTAGAAATGGTTTCTTAAAATAGTATCTCCCACTCTCCTCTTCTTATTTATCCCACACCACCTATACTTTCCTCCCAAGTAACCACAAATTTAGTGTGTTTTATATTTTCTTTTCTTAGAATATGTACTTTTTAATATATGGGAGCTAACTAATTAAAGACATATTTGTTAATATGGTATTTAATTATGACATTAGATACTTTTTGCTCACACAATGCCTAGATTCAAGAATAATCCTAAAAGTGGGTTCACAAAGGCTAAGGAAAATAGACTTTTATATGTCTTTCAAATCATATACCTAAAAGAAAAGCTAGTTCTGACCATTTAAATTATCCACTCTGTATACAATCTTACAGTAGTATCATTCATGAACTGAAATCTTCAATCAAATTATTATTGAGGTATTTTATTTGTGCTCAAATTAAGGACATTTAAAATATTCATAATTACAGGGACCAGCAGTTAGCATAGTGGCTGTCGCTGGACCGTGGTTCACGTCCCAGACCCGGTGCCTTAAAACTCACGCCGGGTGCGTGTGCGTGCGTGCCCAAGATCCCGAGAGGAGAATAGAGGAGAAGGGATTGTGGCGTGGCCGTCCTACCTGGGGGATGATTTCTCGCTTTCTGTCTCTCTGTCTCTCTCTGTTTGTCTGGTGAGTGCACACGCCCTATAGTGAAAATCTCTCCCCGCCCCCCAAAAAATATCTATAATCACTAGGTGATCCTTGTCTGAAATTAAACTGCACACAAAGTAAAAGTCATTGGTTAGAGTAGGTGCTGAAACTGAACATTCTGACTCATTACTTGTTTCACATTTTTTTTAGTGAACAGAGCTAATTCTCATGCGTGAGAATCCCCTTGTTACATTTGGTGTATATGTAGCCTTATGAGGGTCTGAAGATTGGTTACTCATATGAATAAGACTTACATAAAAAGAAGAGAAATAAATCTAATAAAATCTATAACTTCTTTTACCTGTTCAGTATTTTGGGTTATATGTAGAGTGCTTGGGGCACAAGTAGATATTTTCAGAGTTGGAGAATGGAGTTCCTGTTAAGAAAACAAAAGGGAGTTCAGAAATAGTTACTGAGCAGTGTCATTGAATGTCTTGATAGCTTGGAGTTTTATTTCCATTACTTTTCTAATAACCTCATCATCCAGAAATAAGAGCATTGTGTAGTGCTTTTGTAGATGATGTCTAACATTCCAAAAAAACTAAATTTCTTTCTCAACTTTGTCACCCAATGGTAAAATAGTGTTTGGAGTGGTTTCACAGCAATACTTTTACAGTCTTAATACTGATAGGTTGCATTGTTTTCTTCTTTGAGAACGCTGCTAACATATATTTTAATGTTACTATATGTGTGCAGTAAGATACAAATTTTATCCAAAAATATTAAATATAAGACTTCTCCAATCAATACAAAAAGCTACCTTTGAAAACTTGACTAAGACTATTGTCATTTGATTATTTCAAACTCCTTCTAAATTATTCTTTGTTTAACCTGCTTTCAGTTTAATTTCAGAGTAGCCTCGTTTAACCTGCTTTCAATTTAATTTCAGAGTAGCCTCTGCTGTTTAAAATAAATAATCCATAATAGTGAAATAATATGATTTTAACAATTATTAGATAAAATGATCATTCTATCTATTACATGGGCATTATTTAACATTTTTTCACAAATCGGCAAAATTGCATAGGTTTATTAGTGTGCAAAGAGTTAATGGCATTACTCAATTTCCCCATACCTTAGTATAATTTATAATGAAATGATACAACTTCAAGATATTTTCTCACAATGGTAAAAATATATTTTTCTTTAGAACAAGGGAGCTGTTGAAAGTCAGAATCATGGGGCTGGCACCATCCACAGCAATTAAATGCTGCACAGAGGATGCTGGATCCCACATGGATGACCAGATTTCATTAAGTCTCAACCAGGGTTCAGCGAGGCGTGGCCTCTATGGCTTGAAAAACACACTGTGTGTGTGTGTGTGTGTGTGCATGTGTTCAAGGTCCTGGAAGAATGTACAATTGAAGAAAAAAGGATTGTCATCTGACCAGGCCCCACTGCGGGTGTGGTGTGCTTTCTCTCTCTCTTTCTCTCTACTTTGCACATACACACATCTCTGAAATAATAAAAACAGATTCATTCATTTATCTGTTTATTTATGCAGTTTATATGTGCCAACAACTTTCAAATGAAGACATACAAATAGCTAAAAAAAAAGCATAAGAAAAAATATTTGACATCTCTTATCATAAGGAAAATGCAAATCAAAATGCAAATCACAATGAAGTATACCTAACCCCAGTCAGAATGTCAAGAGTCAAAAGAATACTTTTTAAAAATCAGAACCAAAGACTTACAAAGAATACTTTTTAAAAATCAGAACCGCAGACTTATGAGGGAAACATTATCAGACTTATGGAATTATAGATGTGTGTGAGACATGTTCTTGAAACATGGCTACACATTTACTCAGATTGCCAAATGTTCTGCATATTTTGGTTTCTGTTGTTCAACTTGTAAAATTTTCATACTCCCTTCCTCCTCTTACATCAGCAACAATACTGCAGGCTCAGTGTTTCCAAGGCAGCCTTTGAATATGTTTCCAGATTTC